GGAGGCGGGCACGTGGGAGGGGCATTCAACGTGCACATCCCCTGGGAGAGAAACGACGCTAACCCCTCTAGTCTCATCACGCCAGTCTTCGCTGTTGGAAAATAGCGGAGATTTCCACGTGCCAAAAAACTCGCTTCCCGCGGGGCTCCACCGGCGAACTAGCCCCGCCTCCCCGGAGCCCGTGGCCCCGCCCCTCGGCCGCGGAGCCTCTCTCTCATTGGTGGGCCCGGAGGGTGCGGGCAAGCTAGTCACGCTTACTCGCTGACTTGGGGCAAGCACGCGCCGCCGCAGTAGCGGGGTTTGGGCCGCTGGGAAGGAAGCCGCGGACGCTGGAGCAAGCTTCTGAGGCGTACGGGCCGTGCAGGCAGCTGGTTGGTGCATAGACCCCCGGCGGCGGCGGCGGCGGCGGCAGCTCCCACGTGCTTTCTCTGGAGACATGGAACTGGAGGAGTTGGGGATCCGAGAGGAATGTGGCGTGTTCGGGTGCATTAGCTCTGGAGAGTGGCCCACGCAGCTGGATGTGCCGCATGTGATCGCTCTGGGACTCGTGGGGCTGCAGCACCGGTGAGCGACCCGGCGAGGGGTGGGGGTGGTGTGGCGCGTGCTTCCCGGTCAGCCTGGCTGCTTTCTGCGGCCCGAGTCGGCGATCGTGCGTGCGCCTGAGCACCGGGGGCCGGTCCTCACAGGAACCAGTAGCTGCCTGTGGCATCCACGAGGGTACCAAGGCGTTCGCGGGGGCTCCCTCGCCTGCCTGGACGCTGGCCTGTCTCCCCACCCCCCACCCTTAGTGCTCTGTAGGGTGTCTCGTCTCCCTCCGGTGTGCGCTCTCCTACTGCTGGCCCGTTTTAATTTCGTAGAGCCTGGAGCTGCACTTGTGATAGACTTGTGTGGGGTGGCTGTTAGTCCAGGACCAACACCTCCTTGAGGTGTTCGCGCAGAGCCCCCAACAATCACAAGCTTTGTTTGCAAGGGCAGACCTATTAAGCCAGTTGTTGATTTGAATGTGTCATAGCTATGGGAATTTAGTATCCTAGAGTTCAAATCCGGGGAAACAGGACATGTAGGTGTTCAAAAGGGACTACCGGTTATAGATCACATATAAATTAGTTGAAAATAAACCACTTACAGGGAATAGTCTATCTGCAAAAGATTCATTGGTTTACGTTTTAGATAATGAATGAGAAGGTTAGTAGTAAGAAGATGCCAAAGAGCAACTGCCTTCTTTAACAAAGGGAGAGGGGAGTAGTTCCTGTGTGGCAAAATACACATTGATTTTGAAAAATTGGTAGATTCCTTTGACTTAAGTAATTTTGCTTCCATTATCTATTTCTTATTATCTGACCTACTGTTAGTTGCATATAAACAATTCTGTTGGGTTAAGAAATACGAACTCAGGTTTGACAGTATCACTGAGAGTATTCCAAAGTTTTCAATAAGGCAATGCCACAGCAACAACTTCTAGACAAGTTAAGGATCTTGGCAATAACACTTATCTGCAGTATGGGTGCAGCATGTATAAAGGCATTTCAAATGATTAGCTTTCCCTCAACAAGCTTAAATTAGAAGTAGTCTTTTCCCTCTTTTCAGGGTCCCACGTACTTGAGTTTGAGTTTCACATCTTCCATTCCTTGTTTCCTAAGAGTCATTTAGAATCTGGGATAAATCAAAAAGAATATTTTTAACTTGGATGACTCTAATCTTTGCCAGTTGTGGGTTGCCTGTAATAAATACTTTGTTTTAAAATACATATATGGAGAGGATTAGATATATAATCCAAGGAAAAAGTAAAATCTGTATGGTAGTCCAGAGTCACATTAGTTTTGTATGTTTTAATTGATTTCAGAGAAAGGAAGGGAAGCGGGGGAGAGAGAGAAACATCAATGATGAGAGCCACTGATCAGCTGCCTCCTGCATACTCCCCACTGGGGATTGAGCCCTGACCAGGAATCTAACCATGACCTCCTGGTTCAGAGGTCAATGCTCAACCACTGAGCATCCCTGCCGGGCTGATGTTTGTTTGTTTTTTTTAATGATTACAACTTGATTTCTAGTTACGTGCACTTTTCTACAGGTTCTTTTATGTGAAAGAATTATGAGATGAGATGATACAAGATAATGGCAATAAAAATGTGATTGTATGATTATATAAGATTTTTCTTGTGTAAACGTAGAATCATTAGGGTGCCCTGAGGGGGCTGGTTCTCACCATAATTCTATTCAAGTCAAAATTTTAAATTAGTAAATTCCTCACCCTTTAGGGGAACTGACTCTGATTGGAAGAACAATGAAATTCCCTTAGGTCTGGAAGATAAAATCTTCTGTTACTCTAAACTGGTAGGTAGGGGGTTAAAGATTAAGAACTAATGTTTTTATATGGCATTGAGTCAAGGAATGTCAAACCTGCAAGCCTAGATAGGTTATCATAGCTTAATATATAATGGTTAGTTATATACACTGAACACTGATAAGTGGTGGTCTGTTGACTACTTCCTCACCCCCTTCCACTCAGTGGGGTTTTTTTGGTTGTTTTTTGTTTTGTTTTGTTTTTTTATATCTTTATTGATTTCAGAGAGAGGAAAGGAGAGGGAGAGAGATAGAAACATCAATGATGAGTCATTGATCGAGCCCACAACCCAGGTATGTGCCCTGGCTAGGAATCGAACCCCGATCACCTGGATCCTAGGTCGACACTCAACCACTGAGCCATGCCTGGCCGGGCTTGTTTTGTTTTTTAAATGAGGTAAGAGGACAACTTTTTGTTTTTAATCCTCCCTGGAGAATTTCCCTCCCCCTCCCATTGCTTTTCAGAGAGTGGAAGGGGGAGAGAGAGAGAGGAAAACATTGATATGAGAGAGACACATCAATTGGTTACCTCCCACATGTACCCTGACCCAGGTCAGAATTGAGCCTGCAACCAAGGTACACACCCTTGACCAGGAATCAACCCGAGACCCTTCTGTTTGTGGGCTGGTGCTCTAACCATTGAACGAACCTGCTAGGGTTCAATGGTTAGTTTTGAAACAACAGCAACAAGCTTTGATTGTGGGTTTTTTCCTTTTTGATGAAGGAATATTTTCATTATACATTATCTTCCTAAAACAAGAAATCTAGAAGCTGATATTTCTGTCACTTTTGTATTGTATTTGGTGGTTTGTGTCTTAGGCATAATCTGACCTAAAATATTTAGTCTCAGAGATAACAATGCATGAAAGTTATAATATTATGTATTTCATATAAAAACAAACAGATTATCAATTACTAGACAGTCATGTACTAGATACTTAAATTCAGATATGTTCATCCAGAAGTACAGTGGAACCTCAATTCTCTTGCTTAATTTGTTCCAGAAGGCTGTTCAAGAAGCAATTTGTTAGAAAACCAAATCATTTTTTACCTTTAGAAATAACGTAAATTGAATTAATTCATTCCAGATCCCCAAATGATTCCATTTTAACCTTTCTTACAGGTATTTCTTTTCTAAGCTCAATCGTTGTTCTCACAACTTTCCTTTTCACTTTGCTGCTATCACTAGCCCTCTTAGGATCCTCTTAGGATACATATTTAGTAATAATCAGCAACAAAAGTTAAAAACAAACAAACATGAAAATATTCACAGCACAATTTCCTGAGATGTTAACAAGAGGGTTAGCGGTAAACTGACTCATACTCACTCATTGTCTCCTTTGTTTGTTGCCTGAGAGACACTGGATTGATCAAATGGATATCAGCATGAAAGGGTTGTCAGGTTGAGAACAGCAAATGACATTTTTTTCGTGAACAGCTAGGTTGAGAACCAAATTGTTCAAGATAGGAGATATACATATGTAAGGCATTGTTGTAGGCACTAGGAACTCAACCACACTGGATAGGTGTGGTCCCTGCCCTTCACAGAGAGGCAATGTAGCCAACTGCTTCAAGAACACAGACTTCTCTATGCTTCCATTTCCTTCTTTGTGAATTGGGACGATGATAGCACCTACCTCATAGAGTTGTAGTAGGAATTAAATGCATTAATATTTGTGAGATGCTTAGAACAGTACCTGGATATATGCATACCCATGACCCTCCATCCCACTCCTGGGTAGATACTCAACAAAAATACATACAATACGTTTATTGGGAAAAGTACATAATAGAGATATACATTAAGCACTTCCCATAATATCAAAATAACTGTTAAAATGGAATGATTTAGATCCTGTACCTGACCCAGTGATACTTTGTGGTGCTTTGGGGCCGCCCACCTCTACTGAGGCAGTATTTATGGTATCTTCCTCTGTCAGAAAACAGAGAATAGCAATTTATTTACAAAATTCTAATCTTTTGCAATTGAAGATTGTGTGAAAAACTAGCAAGGCTGGGTTCCATGATCAAAACTGTAACCTTGAAGACAAGAACATTTTCCATCTATAACCGAACTTTTAAATGGCCATGTAAAAGTTTTGACCACCTTCAGAATCTTAGAAGTAATCTGCCTTAAAAGTCACAAGCCAGTACGTACAGTGTATGCTCTATTTGGGAGTATGATAGCACTTTTAGACCCAGTTTGGTAACATCTTTCATTGTTACATTTTAATGCTCGACAAAGAGCTCTTGTACTTGTTTTCTTATGTGATCCTAATTGTAAATAAAAATGATCCTTATTGCAATACATATAAAAGAGTAAGGATAAGTGGTTTTAGCAACTGTCACATTCAGATACTACAGCAGACAGGTGATAAACATTTTAAGAAACTGATGGTACTTAGCCCAGAAAATGTTACATGGATGTATTCTTGTGTACCAGTATATATAAAGGATGTTTACAAGTCAGCTGTTTGTAATTTGGGGAAACCTCCTCCTCAGATACATATTGCTGTGTTAAAGTATAACAGTGCTATGGTAGTATTCTTTTATGCCAACTCCTATTCTCTGGGACATCAAAAACAATTTTTTTATTATTTTTGTTTATTGATTTTAGAGAGAGAGAAAGAAACATCAATTTATTGTTCCACCTATTCACGCATTCACTGGTTGCTTCCTATATGCGCCCTGACCAGGGGATGGAACTTGCAATTACGGTGAATGGGAACAATGCTCCAACCAACTGAGCTACCCAGCTATGGTCGGGACACTTTTGTTTTTTTAAAAACATTCTATGTACAGATGTCTATGTAGTTGCTTGTAATGATTATTGTAAAACTAGGCAATGGTTTGTATATATGTGTGTGTGTGTGTGTGTGTGTGTGTGTGTATTTATGTATAAATTTTAATCCTCACCTGAGGATACTTTTTCCATTGCTTTTCAGAGAGAGTGGAAGGGGGAGAGAGAGAAACATTGATGTGAGAGAGACACATTGATTGGTTGCCTTTCTGCACTCTTCCCTACCTGGCCCAGGTATCGAGCCTGCAACCGAGGTACATGCCCTTGGCTGGAATCGAACGCCAGGACCCTTTAGTCCACAGGCTGACACTCTGACCACTGAGCCAAACGGGGTAGGGCTGGTTTGTATTAATAGACCAGTGAGGCAAAAGGTGGTTAGGGTCACATAAATATATACAGCAGTAGGTATGTGAAGATTTAC